GTTGAATGATGTGTTTAGTTGCAGTGCCTCAACCATCACTTCACAACACATACCAGAGCCCCCCTCCCCACCCCCTGTACTTTTCCCATCACATAAATACAAAAGTGGTGCTGACATTGTTAATCTCTAAGAATGTTTAGTGAGTGTGTTTAACTGAAAACTGAAAGATAAAGAAATGATGAACAAAGTCTTGGATGAGGAGCAGGAGGAGTTTCTGGACTGTGAGGTGGACGGACAGAAGAAGGAGGCAGATGGGCTGTAGCAGTGAGAAGAAGGTGTCTGTTTAATCTCCCTGAGCAGTTTGGGGAGCCTTACCATTTATGGAGGAGCTGATGGAATAGTTGTCTGACTGCCAACTGTGTGACACAGTCCTATAGTCTATTTACTCAAGAAGGTCAACTTATCTTGCTCACTTACAGAAGTAACTTCCCCCATTCTGTACAGCCATCATGTTTCTCCTGCATTCTTTTTMTTCTGTTCCTTCGTCTTTCTTTAAATAAGCAGTATGGAAGCCAAATGTGTTCATAAAGAGACATAAAGAAGACCAGGTTGTCAGAGAACAGTGAGCTAAAATGCTTAGTTTCTGTTTTGGACATTGGTTATAACTGAAGCTTTTTAGCTCTGACATCAATATTGAGTCAGCGTGCAGCTATTACAGGAGTACAAATTGGTCTAAAGCCACTTTGGGTCACCTGGTCCACCTTATTTGACTCTTTTAACCTTGAAAGCAATTTCCTTAAAGGAGAGCACAAACCGGTTATCTTTCAGCATCTAAGGGTGAAGAAATGGTAATGTGTTGTGATGTTTGAACTGTAAACGTGTGTTTGATCTTGCAGCTGTACTTTAAGGGTGATGTGCAGTTTGGCGTTGATGCTGAATGTAGCTGTGCTTCCTGCTAGTGCACAAGGTTTGATGCTACATTTACACCAAACGCGTTTTGAGCATCAGGAGCATCTGGTTTACATGCAAAGTCAGTGGTGGACGCACATCTAGGGGCGTCTAGAAGCCTAGCAACGCGTCTGGCYCATTTCGAGCAGCACGGTTCAAAACGGTGCACACGTCCAAAGCGTCCTACGCTCTAGTTGGAAAAACTGAACTTTTGCTGCTCGAKACATCGCATCAACCAATCTGTGAGACTCTGCTCAGTGACATACTGGTGACAAGCCGGAAATACCAGAAACCTGGGAAATCAGATCACACAAACATTGGAAGACAAACTGATAGTCATTTATGACCATTCCAGTGTCCATTATCATGATAGAAATAAGAAGAACTTTGCCTGGAGGACATTTAGTGAGGAAGTCAGCATGTTTTGTAAGTTATCAAAACTACAGTTAAAAAGGCTCCTCCTATCACACGTCTAAAGAAGCGCGTCTACATTCATATCAAATGCGTCTGTCCTAACTGGACACCAGCATCGAGATGCGTGCATTTWGAYATTTTTGGAGGCGCGCAACACGTTTAGTATAAACGTAGCATTAGAGAGTCTATGCTTCTGTGAGCAGGGCAGCTGTGTTTTGTTTTGATTCAGCCCAAGGTCTACAATAGACCTGTGCTGCTGAGTGCTGTATGAACCGGATTGGAGTCATAAGACTGAAAATAAAGTTTTAAAGAAGAGATCCAGCTGATTCTTGTTTATTCAGATATACCATTTTGAACAACGCATATTTTTACTGCAGTCGCTTTGATCTCCCTTCCACCAGCCTGGAAAATGCTCATGCCATCCCCATCAGCCACCCCACCCCATCAACGCCAACTCTGGAACCCCCAATGAACCCCCCCACCAACCATCCCTGAGTGCACCACTCACAACACCTCACCCACCCCCAATGATGGGCCCTCCTCCTCATCCTCATCCTCCTCCTCCTCGGCCACCCCCCTCAAAATCCAGGAGTGGGAGGTGTTGTCCCCAAGAAGCCACGGATCAGTGCCCTCAATGACTACAGGCCTGTGGCTCTGACGTCTATAGCCATGAAGTCAATTGAGTGCCTGGTTCTCCCTCATCTAAAGACCATCACTGCCACCCTGCTGACCAGCTGCAGTTCACCTACAGAAGAAACAGGTCTGCAGATTACGCTGTTATGCTGGTCCTTCACTCCATTTTGCAGCATCTGGACACCCCAGGAGCCTACGCGAGGATCCTATTTGTGGACTTCAGCTTTGCATTCAACACAGTCCTGCCAGATCTGCTCCAAACCAAGCTCTCCCAGCTCAACGTGCCTGACTCCACCTGCAGATGGATCACTGACTTCCTGACGGATTGGAGCCAGTATGTATGGCTGGGGAAAACTGTTTCAGAGACCCAGACCCTCAGTATCGGCTCCCCTCAGGGCTGTGTACTTTCTCCCTTGCTCTTCTCCCACCAACAGCAAACACCTCTAGCCACCAGTCTGTGAAACTGATCAAGTATGCAGACAACACCACCCTCATCGGGCTCATCTCAGACAGAGATGAGTCTGCTTGCAGGAGGGAAGTGGATCAGCTGGTGTCCTGGTGCAGCTCTAACAACCTGGGGCCTCATGTATCAATGGTGCGTACGCACAAATCCTTGCGTACGCCATTTTCCATGCAAAGCTCCAGATGTATCAAAAGTGAAATGAACCTGGAAATGTGCGCAGCCTCATGCTACCTTTGGTTCCATTGGCGACATTAAAGGCCCCCACATACTCGGGCGTACTTTGCTCTGCGGAAGTTGGTGCAGACTCAATGCGGACCCGAAGCGGACGTCCACTGGACTGGTCCATATAAAGATCAGTTTTTTTACATCTGCGTCTGCGGTGCGCACAATYGCATGTTTGGGTGCGACACCAAGCTGATAAAGTTGAGAATTGGTGTCATTTGTGGATGAAATGGAGTCAAATCTTGAAAAGTGTCTCATGGAGATTAGAAAAATTTATGATGCGTCAATGAAAGCATATAAAGACTTTCAACAAATTTGTGGGAGGAAATAGCTCAGCTCCTTGGTAAGGTAGTTCTTTTCTTCTTTTCCTTTATTGTTTTAAAACTAAAATGCCAACTATCTCTTCATCCTGATCCTTGACATCATGACTGAAATTGCAATAAATTAAAGAATTTGTCCAGCGGTCAGTATGCTTCAGTATGAAGTCTCAAACATCCGCGGACAATATGCGTGGAGTCCTCGCAACTCACGGACCGCACACAGTACGCCCGAGTATGTGGGAGCCTTTAGAGGTGATTCTGGGAAACTGTTCATGATGTGAAAATAATTATTGTTCACACCAGACACTCATGATTAACAATTATTACATCCACATTGGACACAGTTAGATAAAAGACGCTCAAAGTTGTGCCAAAAATACTTTTACCAGGAATGGATTCAGCCTTACTGGAGGATATAGTAAATAGTGTGTAGAGTATTTATTTATAAACAGATAGAATTTTCTGATCCACGATGATGACAGGCTCATCAGCCGTTTTGAGGAAAAATAATTTTTCAGTTTGGCACTGCTGCGCACTCTGGGAGCGCGACACAGCGAGGATCCGTGCGCCGRGAGTGCACGTGCAGCAGCAGCAATTGAACTAGGGTTCCACAGGGCTTTACTAAGGAGCTGGCAATTCGATCGGGACTGTGCCAGTACAGTCCACCCAAAGCAGTCATGCCCAATGGAACGGTCTCATCCATATGATTATACATCACGTCAAGCCATGAAAACTCTCCACTGAGGCGCAGAGACTCGTTTCTTTAAATCAGCTATTAAAGGGGACCTATTATGCAAAATTCACTTTTTAAAGTTTTTTTTAACTCAACTTTGGGTATGTACTTCCTAAAAAAAACAGTCATAGGACCAAAATCAATGCACCGGCATATTTACTGTAAATAAATGTATTTTTAATGTATATTAACAACAAGTTTTATACTTCCGTCATTGCGTCACTGCGTTCAGCCCCTTACCTAGCAACCCCTGGGTGAGACTCCACCTCCTCAGTATAAAAAGCCATCATGGTGTTGTTGTGCAATGCGCAGCTCATTTCACAACAAGCCTCCAATAGGACAATGGGTAGAGTGTCGGACTGGAGAGTGGGAGACCAGGGTTTGAGACTGGCATGGACACAATTTCCTTATTTAAATATTTTTGTTCATTATGAACACATTTTCTCATGTACCTCCATTGTTTAGCTTATTAAAGCCTTGTTAAAGCCTATTTGTTTGAGTTTCTGAGGTATTTTGACRGCTGCTGCTCCCTGCTCTGGTAACAGCATGCGGAGTGAGGGCAGAGCAGAGGAGGGGGAGAAAAAACAGTTGTAACCGAACAGCCCCAGGAAAGATGGAGCGCCAGCCCCACCTCCAGAACCCCTCCAAACTGTATAACAGTTTTATAATTATTGCCCCAAACTACTGCACAATTATTATATTGTTTTTGTACTGTTTTTTTTTTCCTGAGTTTTTTGGTCAACCGTAGCACAAAAACAGCTGCACCAATCAACAGGAAATTTGGCAGGACTGTAGATGAGTCTGACCGACACTGCGCCAGCCAACAGTTTTATGTGTAGGAGTGAACTTAAAGGGAATTAAGCTTTTCCCACATCTCTCATACACAAGGTTATGAGGAAACTTTTACCAAGGTATTTCTCATTACTTGTTAATATCTTGACTGTGCGAAGTGAAAAGTGACACAATAAGTGAACGTTCAGATGAGTTCAAGTTGATTCATAAAAGACTACGCAATCATTTATTTACACAAACTGAACAGATCATAAATTACACTTAATTGTGGGTATTCCTATAACAAGCGTCAGAGTTAAATGAGATAAAACCCGCGTCCGAATTTCAATTCACATCAACTCAGATTACTTTTAT